AGTTTGCTAATATTATTATGATGTCAAATTTGAGTTCTGTAAAACAATGTCAAATGCCACACGCATATCTAGAGTAATATTGCTCTGATATGTACTCTGAAGTGAGTCTCATGGTTCCGGCAGAGCAATGTTTAGTGTGGGAAACATCATCATTCGATAATCTACGATCTCAGAGTTCCGTGGGTTTACTATAACATGGTGAAGCACACTGAAGAGATTACTTTGAAGTTACTTGAAAAATCACTTCTTTATATAACTAATGACAATGTCTGAACCACCTCCTCAATATGAAGTAGTTTTTAATGCTTCTATTATAGAAAAATCCACCCATACACTTTATTTTTAAAAACATAATATCCCATAGTAATCTACCTATAAGTTTAATGGATACAGTCCATAAGTCTTAACAATTTGTGACCAACTAGTGACTGAATGAATTTTGCCTTCAAAGTAAAGAAAAACAAAGGTATCTTTAAATTCTGTCCTTTTAAACAGTCAATTTAAATAGTAACTAATTATAATAAAAAATAAGTAGATAAAAGCCACCTTTGCCAATTTCTTAAATTGGATCTTCTTTGTTAAAAAGATACTTACCACATTGGTGGTGTTTGGTGAGGCTCCGTGATGCATTAGTTGTGATACAATATTTACATGTCCCATGAAGGCAGCAACATGGATTGGAGTAAGGCCCGACTAAGGCGAAAAAAAGGAGATGTTGGTTTGTTGGCTTATCATAAAAAGGGTTTGTTTGTCTGTGTGCCTGCCTACCTGCCTCCACCCATCCACTCATCCACCGATCCATCCACCATCTATTTATCTTAACCAGTTTAGTGATCAGATCAGGAGATATCAGGACATCCACACATTCTCTAAGGCAAATATATCAACACATACCATTTCCCTAAAGCAAATCTGTGATTATGAAAAATTCATCATATCCATTAAAGAAGAAAAGTATTTATTTCATACTTTTGATATAGATCTGTGAAAAAAATTGAGAGAGAAATAACTTGAAGATTTTTTCATTTGCTACTAAATTCCTTATCCACGTGAGCATGTGTGTGTGTGTTGGGGGTGGAGGGCAGTGTGATTACAGAGCCATTAGTAAAAAGTTGACTTTTATTTCAGATCTTATTCTGAGCTTTAAAAAGGATTCCCATACACTGAGAAAAAACTGATTATATTACATTGAAAGAGCAAGGTACCTAACACAAAGCAATCCCTCTAATAAATGAGCAAATCAGTATTAACCATTTCAATCGTTTCATTTTTTAACTTTATGAGTACTATAAATTAAGGTAATATAATTAAGGCAGATATTAGNCTGCCATTGACGAACTATAAAATACCAGGGTGCACTTTAAAAGCTTAGGTCAAAGTCACTGTAAGTGCTTCCATGGAGGTTCCTGAGACCATCTATCTGGCCACAGTCCATCCAAGGACGACTGGCTATTACCTCCATATGTTGTGAAATCTCTAGCGTCAGAGGAAAATGAGAGCAAGAGCCCACACCCTGTTTTAAGACTTTTTTCTTGAATGGAAAAAAATGAATCATGATTGCTAATTTCTTTTCCTCCCTTCTCAGAGTTCGAAGACATGTCTGATATACTGGGCAGGTTAAGAACTCCTGAAATGCTGCTCTGATAAAAGCTTTTAGAATTACACTGGCAGTGGAGCTGTCTGGGATCTGGAGAGAACCTGCTTCGTCATTTTTTCTAGCTCACTACAAATTTTAGAGTCCACGGAGCAGCAGTGGCACTAGGGATCCATTCAGATAGGGCAACCACACCATCTGGAAAGGAGCAGAGATCCTTCCTAAAAGGGCTGATTGGATGATAGCCTTNCTGCCATTGACGAACTATAAAATACCAGGGTGCACTTTAAAAGCTTAGGTCAAAGTCACTGCAAGTGCTTCCATGGAGGTTCCTGAGACCATCTATCCGGCCACAGTCCATCCCAGGATGACTGGCTATTACCTCCATATGTTGTGAAATCTCTAGCGTCAGAGGAAAATGAGAGCAAGAGCCCACACCCTGTTTTAAGACTTTTTTCTTGAATGGAAAAAAATGAATCATGATTGCTAATTTCTTTTCCTCCCTTCTCAGAGTTCGAAGACATGTCTGATATACTGGACAGGTTAAGAACTCCTGAAATGCTGCTCTGATAAAAGCTTTTAGAATTACACTGGCAGTGGAGCTGTCTGGGATCTGGAGAGAACCCGCTTCGTCATTTTTTCTAGCTCACTACAAATTTTAGAGTCCACGGAGCAGCAGTGGCACTAGGGATCCATTCAGATAGGGCGACCACACCATCTGGAAAGGAGCAGAGATCCTTCCTAAAAGGGCTGATTGGATGATAGCCTTTACCTCAAAATTGTTAGTAAACTCACATATTTTCCCAAAATTTGGTGATTTATTTTTTCCTAAACATGGGTGCTTATTTTGAACTAAATTTAAACAGCTTATTAAGTTGGGACTATTTATTTTTCCAAGGACAACAAACACCATCTTTCTGAGAAAACCAAAGTATAGCACAGCTACAGACTGAAAGAGCAAATCATTTTAAGAGTTTCGACTACCAACTAGATCAAAATTTTAATTGGCAAAAACGAAAAGAAGATGACAGGCAAGATTTCCTTAACTTACAAGTTTAACATGATATAACAATTTAGCTCACAAATTCCTAGACCTCTTATGTTTAAAATAAAGTTTTTTGATCATTTTGCCCCATTTTTTTAGATCTCAGAAAAAAAACTTCTAACTCACAGAATTATACCTTTACCTATAATAAGATGAGACTGACCACTTCAGTCTTTTCTATAATTGTACACTCTTTGGGTTTTATTGATATAAAAGAATTACTAGTATGACCATAAAGAGGTTAACAATTTAGCTCCATCAGCCTTGTTCATGTCAGAAATAATAGGTTTTGTAGATTTCCCAAAAGGATATTTGAAAATAATTGACAAGAAGTACACTTTATTTAACTAGCACCTTCCATTTTACCTCCTCAAAAGCACCCCCTTCACATGCACAGGTAGCACATCACCAGCAAGAAAACCTAGGCTGTACCTGAGGGCTGAGTCACTCACCAGGGCTTTGGCATTGGGGTTAGCTTTCTTATCCAAGAGAACCTTGGCGACTTTGTAATGGCCACAGTGGGCAGCCACGTGCAGGGCAGTCAGATAGTCATTGGTGACATCGTCCACGGGCACATTATGCTGGAGGAGAAGTTGGACGCAGTTTAAATGATCCCCTTGTGTGGCCATGTGCAAGGGAGACAATCCATTCTGGAACACATAAGAAAATCAGAGTTTATTGTTTTACCTTTTAAATGCAAATATACCAATACAAAATAAAGTGTGAACATAAAAAGATAAAAACCCTAGTTTTTCACATGCGAATACCTTCTATTTTTAAAAGGTTGTGACAACTATTTTGAACTACAGATACTTTTAAAACTGCTTCGCCCACTTCTTATGTCAATCAATAACAAATTGTCAAGGATAATTTCTTTTCCTGATTTAAAAGTAGTGTGATCTGCACTAAGGGCCCTCATTTACTGCATTCCTAATGAACAGGAATTCTTAATATGTAAGTCTGAAAGGAAAAATTAAGGGCAAGAAAAGACTGGTATTCATTGGACTGGTATTTGTTTTATTTTTTTGTTTGGCAGCTGGCTGGTACAGGGATTGAACCCTGGACCTTGGTGTTATCAGTGCCACACTCTAACCGAGTGCGCTAAATGGCCAGCCCTGGGATTTATTTTATCCTTACAGATTACAAATACTTAATAGTGAATACTATGTTTCACCAATTAGAAAAAAATGGTCTGAACACAGCAGCACATTTTATCTCGCGTCAATGCAAAAAGGAAAACTTTTTCCTTTTCTATTAATCTGGTGCCCCCATGCGTCTATGACGAGGAAAGGCAGGGGACTGACCCACTCATTAGCTAATGCTTCCCATGGTTGAAGTCAGCTGGGTTCAATAGCACAGTTAATCACGTGCAGCAGGAATGAGTTGAAGATTCATTTAAAGAGCTGAGAGAAAAAATGTATAGGGTTAAAGGCAAATAAAACCTTAAAAAAGTCAGAATGACATTTAGCATTCAATAAATGTTTCCTAATGAAGGTAAAGCAAGGTATTAAGATGTCAGTCTCTCTTGCATGCTTCCTCTAAATTCAGAGGCAAAGTAGGGGATCCTGGAAAATTCCTAGAGAATCCAATTATCAAAAGAGTCTCTATTGATTGTAACATAATTTGGGAAAACAAGTAATTGGTTAGCAAATTCAGTTTCTGATATGGGGTTTTTTGTTTTGTTTTGTTTTGGGGAGCTGGCTGGTACAGGGCATGAACCCTGGACCTTGCTGTTATCAGAACCATGCTCTGATAACCAGCTGAGCTAACCAGCAGCCCCTTAAAAGGAAGTTTCTGATATGTGGTTTTTTTCCCTCCAAATTCAGTTTTGAAAAAAGTTATCACTGAATTTTGAAAATAGTATATCTAATATGCAACAATGAACCAGGCATTTCTGAATCCTCTGAATTATCCCCCCGCTCAATTCATCAATGAACAACATAAAAGAGTGTTCAAGATGTGAAAAAATACCGCAAGCCCTTTAGCCACTCTCATGGCACTATTCATTCACTGCCATGTATTTCAACTATTTGTGTTTCTTGAAGGCGAGAGGTCCATGGTTGATAATTTCCCCATATTGCCCACCAGAGAGACCTGCATATACAGAAAGGGCTCCATAAGTATTTATATAAGTTTAAAGACCTCATATGCTGTCAGTCAATCAGGATATTTCTTCCTAAAAAATTCCTCTCAAACATTTTAAACCAAAGCAGAAACAAAGGTGCGATACGGGTGGGGACATGTCCCATTTGAGGCACTACCACCGTGAGCATACGCACTGGTTTATTCCTGCCAAAACATTCCTTTCCTTTTGTTTTGATACTGTCTTACAGCAAAACTTGAAGTAAACAAAGAAACAAAATCTGAGAGAACAAATGACTTAGTGGAGAGTAGAAATGGGGGGCGGTGCCAATAACAGGAGATTTTCTAACGATCCACAAAATAATGATGCATGGGGGGTAAACTTATAGGTCACTGGGGAAGACAAGAAAAAAGGAAAGAAAAGATCATCTGCCCCAAGGAAAGAGATCATCCAAGTATTACATATGGCACCTGAAACTATGGATCCAATGTGAAGGGGCTTTCTTAGCTCAGTAAGATGAAAGTCTTGAAGAACTGACAGATTACCTCAAAGCTAGGAATGCATCCATTCGCTTAATATTCCTTCAACAAATATGTATTGAAGGCTTACTATGTGCTGGGCACCGATCCAGGTGATTGAGGTGCTGCATTGAACAAGGAAAAGTTTTTGATTTCATGCTACTGAAGACAGCCCAACAGCAAGCAAATGAGCAAACAAAGAAACAATTTCAAGATGGTGTTAAGAGCTCTAAAGGAAATAAAATATGGTGAAATGGCACTGACTTAGGGGATCGTGAGGATGGGAGGAGCAGATAGTCAGAAAAGGCCAGTCAGAGAAGATGACATTTGAGTTGAAGAATATATGGAGACCACAGAGATCTGGGACAAGCTGAGGGAACTCAGACCGGGCGAACAGGAAGTAAGAACAAACTTAGAGTATTTGAGGAAATAAAAGAAGGCTGGCTGGCTGGAAGATGTGATTAAGGAGTGAACAGGAGGAGATGACGCAGAGAGGTGGTCAGAATCTGGTAAGGAGTTTATTCTCAGTGCAGGGGGACACTTCTGGTTAAACATGGTAGATGTAACATCTATTTATGTCTCCTTTCCCAAACTCCACCAAGAAGCAGTAAAGGTATTTAAAAGAAAAAAGCCATAAGGGCACACAGGTGCTATGTCCTTTCCCATTCCCACATACACAGCGGGAGAGGAAACAAAAGATGAGTGATGTCTACAAATTTTGGAATATGAAGAGGATTTAAATGCTACAGCTCATCTAGCATAACAGCGAAGGCTGAAACCTAAGTGTCTATGGAGGTATATAATCACTGGTGTGCTGACAATTGTTTAATAATCAACTATGCAAAAAAGAAAAGGGCCAATGTGTACCGTTTGTTAATTTCCATGGTGTAAAGACCCCCGCTATGACCAATTTCAAGCTGTCAATATGATGCTACTGAATGGGGAATTGGGAAGGGATGTACACATAGGCTCTTGTGAGCTGATACAATCTGGCTCTAGCACACTGCTGGATATAATTAAAGACAAGCTGAATTATATCTCAAACCTCCAAAAGGCGGGGGATATGGAAATGTAATACCCTGAAAGATAAGATGAGACTTGGGGCTGAAAGTGGGGCTGGCTCAAAGGCTGCGTACAGAGCTGTCAGTTTTCCCGGCCCTTCCCAACTCAGCAAAGCCAGACAACTGCTCCCTCTTTCCCTGCAGGGAACCAGGGTTTTAGTCTCTGGAGAAGGTGAACCAGAGAGATTCAGACTCAGGGTCTCAGGTAGAGCAGAGGGCAGTGGTTAGGATCTGAACTGAGAGCAGGTGATCAGAGAAAAAAGAAGGACAGTGTAGGTGTTAGCGATAAGATCTCTGCAGTTAGACTGCTGGGGTTCAGGTTCTTGTTCTACCACAACCTGAGAAATCTTGAGAAAGCCACTTTATCTCTTTGGATTTCAGTTTCCTCTTCTATGAAAAGGGTATCATAGCAACACAATTATCTCATAGTGTTANTGAAAAAAATTGAGAGAGAAATAACTTGAAGATTTTTTCATTTGCTACTAAATTCCTTATCCATGTGAGCATGTGTGTGTGTGTTGGGGGTGGAGGGCAGTGTGATTACAGAGCCATTAGTAAAAAGTTGACTTTTATTTCAGATCTTATTCTGAGCTTTAAAAAGGATTCCCATACACTGAGAAAAAACTGATTATACTACATTGACAGAGCAAGGTACCTAACACAAAGCAATCCCTCTAATAAATGAGCAAATCAGTATTAACCATTTCAATCATTTCATTTTTTAACTTTATGAGTACTATAAATTAAGGTAATATAATTAAGGCAGATATTAGAATGGTCACTTAGACTGAGCCTTAATTTTGACTGAGCTTCCAAAGCTACACACACACATACAACCCAGAACACTATTCAGCATAAAGCAGAATTTATTGTAAGGTATTTTATATCAAATATGCCCATGAATGTGAGATTTAAGTAGAGAGGATAAGTAAAAAAGAGGATCAAAGTCTCAAATCAATAATATTGTTAAAGAGTGCACTTTAGTTGTGCTTTTTATAAAAAATGATTCGATTTTTAATTTTTCAGAATTTAATTCAACTTACAACATGAATACCATAATTTAACAATTTAATATGCCTAGAATAAGCTGACCTGTTTTTTAAAAAGAGAGAAAAAGGAATAATTAATGTCAACAAAAATTTGAGAAATGTCAAAAAAAAAAAATATGAAAGGAACTCTATATGGTAAAAGTGAGGTAAAAGAAGAAGAATTTTGGCTGCCCAGACTTCAAATATTGGGAAGAATAGTGAAAAAAATGAGGAAAATGAGAATTTTGTTATAGTTTGGCACCTTTTTTTTTTATCAGCGGGGGAGCTGTTAGAACTTGTACAAGGCAAAGTCTTGGTCTGAATGGCTTTTTAAAATTGTCAGGGAGCAGAGGGCTGGCTGTGGAACCTTCTCACCAGCAGCTGACAACTCTGGACACTCATTCAAACATTAGTAAAAACTTATTTTTATTTCAGAGCCTATTCTGATCTTTGAAAAGGGCTCTCAATGCAGTGAGAACAAACTTACTATTTCATATTTAAAATAACAGGTTGCCTAACATGAAACCATAGTCTGATAAAAGAGCAATTCAGTATTAATATTCTCAAATATTTAATTCATCTAATATTTTTAATAATTTTGTGTTACAAGTCAAAGCAAATATTCCATTTGTAGGTAAGAAACTGAAGCCAAGCAACAATCACTAGACTAGACTTTCATTTTTATGTTTGCTTCAATTCTTTACTCAAGCATCAAGCATTCAACACAACTTTACTGAATGATCTAGTATGTGTGGGCCAGGCATTGTGGGTTTGTGAAGACCAACCAGTAAGACTCAGCCCTGTCTTCAAGAAGGCTGTAGTTTCTGGTGGACCTGCAGGAGCAGGTGGGTCATAAGTAAGACAGCTAGATAGCTGCTTTGAAAGAAATATGCACAGGATGAGGTGATGGTCCCTAGAAGGAGCACCTAGTCCAGGCCGGGGTGTGGGGGAAGGGTTCCTGGAGAAGGTGGCCCAGATTTGGTCCTGAAGGATGTGCAGGATTAGCCTGGGAAGGGGGTGTGACCCATGGAGGTGCAGACATACAGAGGTGAACAAAAGGGTGTCCAGTCTTGGGAGGTGCCAATGGCCAAAATCAGTGGAGATCAAGACCAGAGGTGGGGGGATGGGGAGTCTGGAGGGGTAGATGCCAGGCTGGGTTTCCTAGGTTGAAGGCTCAGCCCTGATGTGATGGATCATTTCTCTGAGTTCTGAATTGGTTCATATGAAAGAAACCGAGAGCTAGTCCTTTTCTAACTTCAGCAACTCTGTGTTTCCTTAATTTCGAGTTTTTAGACTGAGCAATTGTTACTTTATGAAAACACAGAAGTTGTGTTATGGGAGGTTTCTCAAGCTTGGCACATTTGACATTTTGGGCCAGATAATTCTTTGTCGTGGGAGTCTGTCCTATAAAATGCAAAGCAGCTCCCCTGGCCTCTACCCACTAGATACCAGTAGTACTATCCAGTTGTGACAGCTAAAAATACCTCCTGACATTGCCAAATGCTCCTTGGGGTACAAACCTGCCCCCATTAGAGAAGCACTATGTTATAGAGTTTCATATGATGGCACCACTCAGCTTGGGTGTGTGTTCGGGTTACATTTTTAGTCCCAATGATGGCATTGCACCCACCCCCACCCACTCTGGTGTGCTTTCCCTAAGGTCTGGCAGCCCTTCTGCTGAAGAGTTCAGAATGTAGTCTGCAGCAGTGACACACGAGCAAAACCAGCCAGTCCTGGAGATGGCATGTACTCTGGCTGCTAAGACTATTCTCTCAGCACCTCAGGACCCCAGAAACCCCGCTCCCCTCACCTCAGTTACAGCTTGGATGGATGCACCGTGTTTCAGAAGGAGTTCCATTACTTTAATTCGGTTCTTCTTGCAGGCAATATGAAGAGGAGTAAAGCCATTCTGCAAAGGACACATTCATGTATCTGTTTAACTACATTCCACTGAAATCCAGTTCCACAGTGTGCAGTAAAAGATTTTTGATAAAACGATGTGCTGTAGAGACTTTAAAACAAACAAACTACAAGGGGTTAAACAGAATGTAGATTCTTCTCTGGACGCAGAGGTAGTCTAGCTGCTCCTGGGAGCCCAAGGTGCCTGGTATTCGAGAACAGGAAGTGAATTTT